GAAGAGCGGACCGGACCAGACGTTAGGACAGACATAAACAACAGCAGCTCTTAATTGGATGCTGCACGTCTTGTGGAGGGGATTTTTGTCCTGTGGTTTGAGATGAAAGCTGAAGAGAGACTAGAGAGTAGAATCCTTCAGACGCATCTCCACATCTGGGCCTTTTTAAACTATCTGCCTCTACAAACTCAGTGAGGGAAAGTACTACCACTGGGCACAAAACACAAGATCTACAGATCCCACTTTTCATGCTATTCGTCTCAAGGAGTAAAAAGAGTGTGAAGAGAATGTACATATCTAGTGAGCTGCCTTCTAAAATACCTAAAAAATAAATAAATAAACAAATAACAACAATGTTATTATTAACAAATATGACAAAACAAATAACCAAAACTCAAAAAAAAAAAAAATGTTGCTTTATAAATACCATATACTGCATTCATTTTGTATTGAACTATATCAATAAAAAAATATATTTTATGTATGCTTATGCTTTTATGGTATTGCATTGTTCCTGTTGCATCATCTGCATTTAAATAATTTGTAAACTAAACTAAAATAAACAAACAAACAGCCAACCAACCAACCAACCAACCAAATAAATAAATAAATAAATTATGCGAACAAAGCAACATAGATTATATCATATAGCTGCATGTATCATTCACAGAGAAGGCAATCCAAAAATGTACTGTGACAAGCTCATCAAAAAATAAATCCATGATGACGGACAAAGTAAAATGATGATTATAAATAAACATACATTTAATTCAAAACTGAAAATGTGTCAATAAAACAATTTCTGTGTACTTTGAAATGACTTATTTTACATAGTTTTGTATGTGCTATAAATTGTAATGTTCATAAAGAGTATTGTGGTGTGTATCATTCACAGAGAAGGCAATCCAAAAATGTACTGTGACAAGCTCATCAAAAAATAAATCCATGATGACGGACAAAGTAAAATGATGATTATAAATAAACATACATTTCATTCAAAACTGAAAATGTGTCAATAAAACA